GAGTTGTGCCAATGGCGGTGCTGCGCTGACGACGAGGCTAAGTTGCCATTCAAAAAACATAAATTTTTTGATTTTGGGGCTTTTTCGTGATTTTATTTGTCTCTCTGACCGTCTTATGTCAGGTCATATTTGTCTCGGACCACTACTGCTACCATTATAATTATACTATCCTGGCCTTTTATGGACAAATGAGACGAATATGGCCTAGTAAATATCAATGTTAGCAAAACGATGCAGTTACCGGACGAATTCCGAATGAATCAAAACACAGTTATGGCATAGTGACCGATGCATGGGCATTACAATTTTGGAGAATATCAACTCACAAGAGGCAGGAGAGGCGGCACGAGCACCGCTGTTGGCGTGATAAGTTTAACGACTGTGAAGGTTGAAGGTTTTTTGCACTCTGAACATTAGTATAAGAACGGAAAAGAATTCTTTTTTTGAAAATTGGATTTTTGCTGGTAAAAAAACGTCCCCCTCAAGTGCGTGGCATTTCTGACGTAATGAAGCACCACACAGGACACCTGGCTAAGTGCGTTATTTCCTGGACGACAAATATATTTCGCTACACCTGAGAGTATATTTGCAATGAACGGAAGCTAGGATTCATTGGTCGAAAACTGTTTTCGAACGCGTAAAGACGCGAGTACAGGGATCACACTGGCCACTTTCATGCGTATTGTTCAAAATTTATCACTGTAGATGTGTACCTGTATGGAATGCGTGGGTGTTGTCTAGTGGACAGGTTGAAAGTTTTTTTCGTCTGGGCATTTGCGTTTGTTCATTTTTGCGTCCCGGAGGTTGCATAACCCCGGTAGGTCACTTTTTGTTTGGCTCGGGGCAGAATCCTGGGGGGGAGTTGTTTCATTTCCTATTTCGGTTTTTACGTGATGGTCGCCGAAAAATCACTCATTTTCGAGCATTTTTTGGGCGAAATTGGGGCTGCAAAGGGGGAATAGGGTGGCATACTATTTATTCCAGTTTAGTTGTGCACAGCAGTGTTCAATAGTCGCAGTTTGATGTTCACACAAGTCGATTTGTGCAGTGGACGTGGAGGAGCAGGTCATTATCGTTACTCGTTTATTCAGCACCGCAGGATAGAGTTGATGCAGTTTGGAGGAATTTATGTTTTATTCCGATGATTATCCACATGCACGGCGATATCAACATTCCTACATCCGAAGCACCAGCTGACATATCCTAATGCGAGTCCCGTGAGCAGCACAATCAGCACTGAACAGTATTTGAGCTTATCCGAATTTAATGATCTTATATTTGCGCCGTTATCATTTGAAACACATCATCTTAGTCGCGGCTAATGCGCATGAAATACGATTGCAGTGTAGGAGGACCCTGTCGAACTATTTTGCCATCGCTAAAGATAAGTTCGAAACAGAAAAAGGTTGAAGGTTTTTGTTGTGCTTTAAATAGCTCGCCTAGATAGTTCCGAAAACGAATGCTATTTTTTCAGAATTTTGCAAAATAAGTGAAGATGAGTGTAAGACGTTCCACACACAGATGCAGTAGTAGTGATGTGTCATGTCTTAATAGTAGCTCAGGTTCTGGCCAAATGCAGTACATTTGGAAAGAGCGACAAACGCTTTGTCTCCTCCGATACCTCGTCCCACTTCGCGCTTATATACACGTTGAATTGTTGATCAGTGGAGGACGCACAATTGTGAAATGCG